TAGCCGTCATGAGCCAGCCATACCCAGCTCCAAATGCGGAGCATTTGAGAATAGAACCCCGGATATTTGGACCTCCAGCGGAGGGTTCTGTTGTTGAGCCACAGACCGGTTTTCCTGAAGGTTGTGATCGGGTCCTGTAATCCCGCACGTGGAAACACACACACAACAACAACTAGGCTTGGGAGACTGCGGGCAACACCAGTCTGCAGAACCCTTTGTAAGCTCTTTTCACAATAAGAACCATCCAAACTTATCAGTCTACCCTGACTTCCGATTTGGGAAACCTTCTTTTTTCGACTTCACCATCATCTACAAATGCTCTTCCCGTTGCGCTTTAGGGCTCGATGACTGTTCGACTCAGTAACAGAAGATTCCTGGTTCCAAAACCAGAAATCCGACCAAGCTATAATAAGAGAGGGGGGAGAGGACGGGGATTAGGGTATTTTGGCACAGAACTGTTTCGGGCTTACTCTGCCTTCATTTAGCCAACCATAAGCCTGAACAGGAACACGAACATGCTATCACACACCCGGCGCCAATAGTCGAGAGATGTGGTCTCTTAGAGGCGTCATAAGCACTTCACTGAACCGAAGTTTATCAGCGCCTCGCCACTGGCCAAAGGAAAGGGATTCCGTGTAAAGTGATTGAAAAAATGCCAAAAATGGATGACAGGTAATCGTGCCATGACAAAAGGTTTCACTCATTAGAAGAAAGAAGTAGATCATAAACAGGCCACAGACGCACGCACATTTAGCCCGCAATAAGCCGAGGAAGGTGGGAAACACGGGCTGCAGTCACTAGAGCTTTCTTTTCATAGGAGCTACAACTTTGGTTAACATGACGGCAGACTAATCCATACACCGCTGCATTCTGGCATCCAAATTATCTGCCCGGCTCGCCTAAAAATTAAACCCACTACTTAAGGTAAAATCATAAAAATCACCATTTTGCGATGCCATTAAATTCCATATTTCGAAGATTCGGACATATCAGTAGGACTGAACTTCCGTACTTCATATGTTTTCAAACACAACCTATGTTGTCGGCTAGGTGGCACGCGTACACTCTGACAACAATCATACTATGTCAGTGGTGCGGACAGGTCACTAAATTACGCCCTTTTAAACATAACTATTCGCTCGCCTCAATAGTTGACTCTAAAGAAGACTTGGTGCCCTGTGTTTGGGTCATAGGACGGAAAGTCTGGGAAATTTACGCAGGCCTTCGCTTGT